TTTCCCGCCCCCCCCCCCCCCCAGGCATTGCCAGATCTGCCTCTCTTGCAACAGTGTCAACGAAAGGTTTATATTTAGAAAGGACAACCTTTCATTGTACATTTCAAAGTATACAAATACATATTTTGCATAAAACTTTATTTTCCAATGATTTCAGAAATTTATTTTTCCGTTTTTGACCTATCATTAGACTGATCTTTCCTTAGTATTCCCTCAGAATTGCCTTAGCATGTCACACCAGCATTCCTGATCCAGCTCTGAAGAAATGACATGACTGTTAGGTACCATGCTGGGGCCTGTTTAATTGCATCTGAATTAAATCATTAATATCTAGACTTTTGAGCTAGTTAGCTGCATGCTGCAGCAGTAATAGAATCCAGTGTTCCCCAGAGTGTATACCAGAGAACACAAGTTCCAAAGATGCTCTTCTAAATTTAGGGTTCCAGGGTCAAATGACTTTAGGAAACATACCATCTTAGAAAGTTAGTGCATATAAGTGCATCAGAGGTTCTAGTTTAAATGTCCTGAAGAAGAGGGGAAAACACAACACACATGTAATTTCAGTTAGCCAAGTGTTTTCTAGTTTAATTTAAAACTTTTCTGACTAACACTTAGCAGCATTCCAAGGAACTCGTGTTCTACAGAACCCACTTTGGGAAATTCTGGTATATTGAAATATGGCTGTTTTCTCATTCACCATGACTCTTAGTAGTAGCAGTACGATTTGCAATTTAGAAGCACTGATCCTTTTACATAAGAGGCTGACTTGTTAATGTAAGCTGTGTTAGGAAATACATAGTATGATTTCCTAACACAGGAAGCAGGCTCATATTGATAGCAGAAGTCCAACAGTTGTACTTGAAGCTCTAAATATCATCTTCCCTCTTTTACATGAATGATAAACAAGAGCCTCGCCCTAGCTAGGCATTTCTCACATTCACCCCAAGAGCTTTCAGTTGCTTGTTTGCAGTTATCTTTGCTTTCCAAGTGGAATCAAAATAAATACTTTTGCACTTCACTATGTGACAGTAAAAAATATATAGAAAATAATAGAAAAGGGAAAAAAGACATATTAGATTTTCATTCATTTTTGAAATTTTAACTAGATTTTTAAAATCAACTATTTGTTGTGTAATAATGGAAATGTAAACTATTAACACTTATTTACTCTCCTCTGTTCTCTCCAGATTCAAATAATAATTATTTATTATTTCAAAAAATAATTTGAAATCAATTAGAGCTTGTATGTTCTAAAATTTCTGTTCCATGTCGTCCCACCTTTCACATCTTATATATATAGTTAAGTTTGGCAAGTTATCTTGTGCCTAAAGTGTAGGGCTTGACTATAGTTCCATAATAGTCAGTCTGGGTGATGTGTTTGGGAAGATATGAGAGATAACCCCCAAATAATGGACGAAGCAAATCTAGTTGAAAACATGCCATGGAGTAAATTTAGGGTAAAGTCATTAATTTAAAATTGCATCCAATATTTAGGAATATACCCACCCTTTTGGATGTTATCCAAAATAGTAAAAAACTCAAAGTAAGATTCCTTAGGCTAGGTTGCAAATTGCAAAGGAGGGGCACTTGAACTATGAGGCTTCCATTAGGTATGTGTTTCTAATGTGTTTTTTAATATGTACATTTTTTGCTGATTCTTACAAATGTTAATGCTGTGTCCATTATTTGTTATTTTTACCACTGTTGAACTGCATACTGTTAAACCAAGGGTTGATGATGATAATTTTTATGTGCTTCGTAATAACCACACCATTGTATGTACAATTACTTTAATAAATCCAAGTTAAGGACTTTGAGGAGAGCATGTAGTAACTGTTCATTTTAACAAATCATTATAGGCATTTTCACCATCCAAAGCTCCATCAAAAAGCAGCAAAGGTATGGGTTATATTTAGCGATATGGTTGCATTTATTCTAGAAATCCTATAAACTGGCATTATTTAACCACAAAATCCCATCTGACATTTGCCAACTCCAAATTAATCTTGAAAACCTCCAAGGACCAGCGTCCCTATCTCTGAGCACAAGCAGATTACTGTAAAGGCTCTGGTGGCAGATTATGGTTAGAGGGAGGGTCGAGGAGGGGCAGGAAAATCTGCCTGGGTCACTCGCCACCTCTGCAGGAGAGGGACTGTATCAGTCACACGTTCTCTCAACACCTTTTGTCATGAGGCAGTTCAAAAGTTACATATGATATGCATTATCTAGAAATATTTCTATTTTAATTAGATAACCCATCATTTAAAATGTGTTCATGCAGAAGCAAAGGTAAAAGTAATAGTAAAGGAATTAAGGGAAGAAACCTTTAGGATACCCAGACATTAACAATGTAAAAAGGTTATCGAAAATTTGGATTATCAGACCTATACCATACACAGGTTATATTTAATAGCTGTTTCTGACAACTGCACGTAGATCAGCAGAAGGCAGTTATTACCACTTCTCCCTATTCAGAAAACATGTTTCCATTTTAGAGTATTGGCTAATGTTTTTAATGCTTATGTGTTAATGAAGAAGACAACATTTTAAAGCTTCCTTTTTATAGGGCGGATGGCACAGGCGAGTTTAAGAGGAAATGATGAAATGGTGCTCCCTGAAACATCTCTTCTTTAAATTTAATTAGACAAATTATACTCAAACTAGTAGATGCCCTGGGAAGGCAATCAACATTAGGGCTAATAAAAAGCTTGAATAGTATAAAAGGGCTGGAGGAGGTATTGTAGAACCTTTCTAGCACTTATGAGAGGTAAATTAACA